TTTATAAAGGATTATTAAATTATACAGCGCAAAAATAAAATAAAAACCGGAAATTAAGTATCGGGAGCTTTTTGGCAGATTTTCGACCCAAAATAAAATGCATTGGCTGGCAGTCCGAGCTTGTCCCTCGTCGAAACATCGGCCATTTGAATGTGAGGAGATGATTGTTGGGTTGGTTGACTGGATGACTGCCAATACAGCCCGACTGACTGCCCCTTCCTCTTGCCCGAGGCGTTGTCCGCACCAATCCGTGGTCCGGATTTCCGGAAATGTCACTACACACGCGTCAGCTCGTCAAGAAGAAAGTGACAAGATAATATTTGCATGCCAGTTAAGGTATTCCGAAACCCCAAAAAACTCTCCAAAAAAATAAGAAGTTTTTAGAACACTTTTTAACCCCAATCGGCCCTAATTTGGGCCAAACTTCGGAATCTCGTAAATTTCACTGAAATGGATGTAGCTAGTCGAAATGAAAATTCAAATATAATTTTTGGATGCCAGTTACGCTATGGTAATGCCTTGGAAAATTCTCCAGAACTTTTTAGCTTTCCAACTCGCCCTCATTTGGGCCAAAAAAACGAGCGAGTTTACGAGGGTAGGGCCAGGCAAAAGTGGGGTAAAAGTAATTAGCGGGGTTTGAACCGTTTTTTCTGGAGTGAGAGGGCAGTCTAGCCGGTACAGATAGGATAACGGGGGGGGAGGAACGGGGCCCCGTTATTTTATTTCCCCCCTCGTTATCCTATGTGTATCGTCTAGCCTGGATCCCTTGGGAATGTTCTGCCAAAAAAAACGAGGAAATATCGTCAAAAAATAAAAAAAATTTGAAAAAAATCACTTATCGATAGCTAATTCTACTACCGTCAGCCCCCAAAACTACCGTAGACCTGAAATTTTTGATAGCCATTTAACAAAAATACCGTATTACCCCGTTGCACTACTAGCCAGTTTGGCCTTACAATTACCTTTTAAATCCCAGCATTTGCCAAAAAGCGGATTTTTTTAACAGCTATTTCGGTTGCTGACCCTCAACTAACAAAACTATGGTATTTTTCTATTCTTTGCTACGTAGTTAGCAAAACTACAGTATCCCTAGTCTGGCCACTAGTCAGTTCGGCCACCCAATTACCCATTCAAATTCCAGCACGATACTCTGGACACTACGGGTCGAATTTCTTCCCCTCCACCCCTCGGCCACCCTCAAATGGCCTGTGCTCGTTATCGGGAGTGTCTCTCTTCGGGGTTGAGTGGAGGGCCATCATTGGCCCATCGTCAGTCTAGCAGTTGGGACCGAAGAGACTCAAATTGAACAAATTGCTCGACCGGCTGCCAGTAAGGAGGGAGAAAGAGAGAGAGAGAGAGAGAGAGGGAGAGAGAGAGTAAGGGAATTAGCTCACAACGACCCATCTTCCCTCTCTTTCTCTCTCTTTAGATGACCACCATGGATTGAGAGGACACCATAGTAGAATGGACACTCGATTTGGAAGGGAGTAGAATCGGACAATGGCCTTTTTCTGAGGCTTCAACTTCTCAAATGCGTACTTTGCATGCCAGAATGGCTAAAAAGTAGTAGCAAAATCTTATTCGCCCTTTCCAGGTTGATGTTATCTCGAAAATGGGTTATCTGCACACCAGATTACAGAAAAATGCCGGAAAATTTATTGTAGGAACTTTAAAGCATTGATTTTTTTTTATTGACAATCGGTACTTTGCTTTGTAGAATATGTAAAAGCGGCATTTAAACATTTTATTGCTGCTTCGTTGGTTTATTTTATCTGGAAAATGGGTTAACTGCGTAGCACGATACACAAAAAAAGGCAAAAAGATTTGATGGACACGTTTTCATTTAACGTTTTCATATACGTTGTCTTCCGTATGCCAGTATACTTAAAAATGCCTAGAAAAATTTATAGAAACTTTATTCATCCGATTTTTCGTCGAACATTGGACCAAAAACCACCAGAATGACCAAAAAGCGAATCCTGAAATTCATCATTTTCTGAAACCCTCTTCCGCGTTTTTTCAGCAGTAGGCCAATCCAGCCACTTTCCACCAAATTCCATTGAACCATCAACCGATTCCGCTCAATCCAAAGAACGATTTTCCCAGCCGTTGTCGGCAATGCCCGCGACACGTGTCGGAATTTAGGGAGACGAGAAGCGTGGTGAAAATAATCCGGTAAATCCGCTTCAGCTTCTTATCAAAAATTAGGAGTGGTGTGAAGCAATGGACAGGGAGACAGCAAGCATTCAATCAGAACATTGGTACTTGACGCTTCAAAAAATGGGTCTATGGGATCAAAAAGTTTCGGAATGGGTGCCAATTCAGAATGAACACTGGTGATGGTTATTCTGGATGGCAGTTTAGCCACCGGCGTGTAAAAAAAATTAAAAATGCCATGGATTGGAGCCCATAATGAGATTTGGGAGGAACCCCTGGAGGCGTCGAAGCGAAGGACCCTGTTTCTTTCAAGGAAAAAGAGCAATTTGACGGTTGACTGGAGAGAGAGAGAGAAAGAGAGAAAGAGAGAGAGGGAGAGAGAAACAGAGAGAGAGAGAGAGAGAGAGAGAGAGAGAGAGAGAGAGAGAGAACAGCAGAGACCTTGATGGAATGGCCACTTCGAGGAGTCTAAAGTCAAGGCCACCGCCACTTCTCTACCCCTTTAATGGCCATCGGGAATGGCTAGAGGGGGGGGGGGGATTCGGGTCATCTTCTCGAGGACAATGCAAATGGGGGGCTGTGGTGTGGAGTCTCCAGGATGAGCGTGTACACAAAAGACGGGGAGTTCTCTGAAAATAAAATAAAAAAAAGCCCTCAAAAACCAGAAAATTCATTAAAATGGTTGAAGTTCCGAAACATTGATTTTCAGTGACTATAAATTTCTAAAATTCCTGATGGTTTCTTTAAGTACTTAAATTCATGGCATTTACAATAAATTGGAACAAAAATGATGAAGACTGCAAGCTACAAAAATTTCAGGTAGTTCCGTCCCCTCTTTCGAGCTTTTGGGAACGAATTGGCACCTTGCCCACTTTGTGAATTTTGACAGTTTTTGGCCATTTTGTCGGTACGGCAGTTTGACAACGCATTTTCTGTATTTTTCGACAATCTGGCAGCCAAACTATACGCTTCAAAAATTTCCTGTATTTATGTTCATTTTTCGAGCGTCTTGGGCCCATTTGGCACTTTTACAGGTTTCTGAACTTTCCGTTCCTTTCCGTTCTCATAAATCACCGCCCTCCCTTTTTCTTCGCTCTCTTAATCCTTCTTGGCAAGCAATTAAGCGTTTGAAACTGAGAATGAATGTTTGCCGATCGAATCAGTCCTGGAATTTAGGCGAGAAAGAGACTGAAGCCTTCGGAAGGGGTCAGAAACTGGGGCCCGCTCCCTTCATCGAGACAGCTTAGTTTAACGGGTTTAACCGAATTAAATCTGGCTGGAAAGTTGGCCAAAAGATAGCCGTTGCTGCCCTTTTTGAGTTTGGGAAATTCAGAAAGTGTCAGTAGCCCTCTAAAGGGAGATAAGAGTCCACGTTCGACCCATCCCGTCCCCTCATGGCATACCACTGCCCGGCTATTTTTTGGACAATTTTCTGCTCTATGGGGAGGGAATCCGGTGTTGGCTTCGGAATTTTGTAAATTGACTTGAATTCTATAAAATAAAATATAGAAGCACCGGTTAGGCGAGGAAATCAAGGGTTGAGGTTTTTGAAAGGACTCTGACAGAAAAATCGTACTTTTTTACGAAAATTGAAATTTGTATAATTAATTTTGAAACTGAAGAACGTTTATCGGATTAAATTCCACAATATGAATAGCTTTTTTGCAGATTTTAATGCACGTTTGAGAAAGCTTTCAAAATACGAAGTTTCGAAATTTCCGAAATTGTCCAAAAGTCGATTTTTAGGAAATATCCAAACATTTGAAAACGTGTTTTTCTTTTTGAATCATTGCTCAAAAAATGCATTGCATAACAGTTTAGCATTTTCCGTTCCAAAAGTTCAAACAAAAACTAAAGAAAAATCGAAAAGATCAGGAAACCCCGATTTTTCTTACTAGGGGAAACCCGAGACGTCGTATTTTCACAACTTTAGAAATTTAGAAATCACTTTTTCATCTGAATCACCTTTCAAAAGCTTTCTTACATGTCAGTTCCTCATTTGCATCTAAAAACCACAAAAAACCCGACAAAAGTCCAAAAAAATCCCGATTTCCTTGCAAAATACCCTCCCACCCGCCTCCGATTCCGGACCCATACCAAATGACGCATCACATCCACTATTACCGTTTTTCCTGACCAACACGCTGTATCCACGGTTTTCTGGTGGATAATCTGCAAGTTTAATAGCCAGCTACTCGAAAAACGCGTGTTTTCCCAATAGTATCCACTCGGAATTCATAGTCATTTCGGGCCATTACCCCCACTAAAAATTGCCTATAAAAGTCGGGCCCGTATAAATTGTGATATATACTTGATAGGCCAAGCAAATTCGTGTGTCTGGATTTTGTTTTCAATCTACCTTTCGTTCGGCACTTCTCGAATGTCTTTTCGAGATTCAGAAATCTGGAAATTCGAATTTCTGCACTCGAATTGAATTTTCTAAAATGGTTTTCGAAATGTTAAAATTCATTTCTGAACGTTTCAAAATTTTTTAACCCTTCTTGACTCAAAATCTAAAGTTTGTTTTATTTCACTACCTTAGCTTTTCCAATATGTACTTTGTTTTTTGGAACTCATTTTTATTTTTACAAAAAAAAAGCTGACATTTTAGAATTTTTAGCTCATAAACCCCCAAAACTTGAGCCGAAATTGGTGGGTACGGCATCGAAAATTGAGCTTCCAACCGGCCAGAAATGGTGCAAGTAAATGTGGTAAGTACATCATAATAAAAATACCCCTAAAAAATTATAACAATTTTTAAAAAATCATATTTTCAGGTTTCGACGGGGGCCACCTCGGCCCCACGGCCAGCCCATTCTCCTAAAGTCTCATTTTTCGTGTATATGCTCGCTTTTGCTGCCGTAATCGGTAAGACTAAACTCAAATTTAACGCAAAATTTAAACTGTATATTTATATTTGTTTCATTAATTTAAAAACAAAAATCTCCGTGTTTAGGTGGTTTCCTTTTTGGCTACGATACGGGTATCGTCTCCTCCGCTATGTTGTACGTGCCAGATAATAGTGGGATGGAACCGATGAATTCGTTATGGCAAGAGGTTATCGTATCGCTTACGCCAGGTAAATCAGAGGTCATATTAGTAATTAAAAAGCCTAAAAAAGTTATATTGACTGCTGCTCTGTCGAAAAACATCCTGCAAACATGAAGTTTCTATTCTATTTTTGGTTATTCTGACTGGCAGAAAATCAAATTGAATAGATTCTGTCTTCACTGGACCTTTAAAAACTAAACCATGTTGATTTTGACGACCGAAAACTACTAAAAAACCCGAAAATTTTTAAAAGTTGATGAAAAATTTGCTAAATTTACCGCAAAAGTTTTTCGATTATTCTGACAGCCAGTTAGCAAAATTGAACAGATTCTGACTTTGGAAATTATTGGAATTCGCTAACCTGAAAAACAATAAAAAATTCATAATTTAAGGTGTTGCGGCGATCGGAAGTCTGCTCTCCGGCACTGGCTCCGATTTATTGGGTCGAAAGAAGATGATCGTGTTTGCTTCTATTGTATTCACTGTTGGAGCATTGATTTGTGGAGCTGCTTTTAATAAGATTATCTTATTGATTGGAAGGGTGCTGCTTGGACTCGCTATTGGTAGGGTTTACGCAAAAAACTCTAAACTAATCGGCAAAACCGAAATTTTTGAAGGTTTTTGCTGTAACCTTTGTAAAAAATCAATGCTCCTATGTTTTTAACCTAACCTTTATTTCTCCTCTGCCCTCCAGGTTTCGCTTCGATGATCGTTCCCGTATACGTGAGTGAAGCATCTCCAGCCCATATTCGAGGAACAATGGTCACTGGATTCCAGCTGATGGTCACCTTTGGGCTGTTTGCCGCGAATCTGGTTGCTGGTGGATTCTCTTATATCGATCCGAAGAACGTCGGATGGAGGTCAGTTTAAAAGAGAAATTTGGTTTTAATCGGGTTTGACACCCAGAAATTAAAAAAAGACCCAAAAATCACGCTTTTGCTGCTGTAAATTCGGCACATTTCTGAAAATGTCGGAATTTCTTGCTGTCACTATCACTTTAAAATAGTATTTTGGCTAATTGTTATCCGGTCAAGTCATTTAAACGCTTAGAATAGCCTTAGCATCGATTTTGAAAAATTGCTGACTTTCTAAATCTCGCAAATCCTCCAATCCGCCAGTTAAATTAATCAAGTGCCAAAAAAGTTTAGTATAACCCTCAATTTCTCCGGATTTCCGGCTTAAAATTCTATTTTTGACCAATTCACCAATTAGTCTAAAGCGATTCATTGGTCTGTTTGGCCATCGAAACGAAAAACCGTTTGGACTCTTCTTTGGCTTTTGAAGGGGTGATAAGAGAGTGTCATAGACAGGAGAGTCACTGGAATGGAATTGAATGGAGTGAACATTGGTCCCCAAAACGAACCTGGCTCAAAAAGGAGGAAAATCAGAAAATGGCACGGAAATCCGAAACCAAAATAGGGATGATAGCAGAGAATTTCGAGGAATTTGAAGCTTAAAATTGCAACTCAACCAAGGGCAAGCTAGCACAGATAATTGGGGATTTTTGGCCCAAACGGACCCCCAAAAACCAAGCAAACTAGCAGTGATTTTTGTAGGAATTGACTAATTTCTAGCCAGAATTACATCAAAATTTCTAAAGTTCAAGTAGAAAAATTGAGGCCAAGATGGGAGTTTGGGAATTTGTGAATTTGGATTTACAATTTTTTTGGGAGCTGGGGGAATCTAGCAGAGATCATTAGGGATCTCGGATGTGACGGCCCAGAAACTAGGCAAATTAGCAAGGGTCCATCAGGAATTTACCAAATTTTAGTGGGCTTAGATTTATATAACTGTATAACAATTAAAGGGACCGGCATGCAGATAAAGCCATGAAAACTTTTTGGCGAGCAAACTGGCAGACAACAGCTCGAATCCCTTTTTTAGGCTAATGTTCGGATTCGCGGCCGTCCCTTCTGTCATCCAATTCATTTGCTTCATCTTTCTTCCGGAGAGCCCTCGATGGTTATATGAACATGAAAAGAAGGAAGAAGCGAGAGAGGTATAGAGGAGAGAGAGAGAGAGAGAGTGAGAAGGAGAGAGGGAGAAAGAACGAGTGAGAGAGAGAGAGAGAGAGAGAGAGAGAGAGAGAGAATGAGGGGGAGTGAGCGAGAGAGCGCGAGAGAGCGCGAGAGAGAGAAGAGAGAGAGGGAGAAAGATAGAGTGAGAAAAAGAGAGGTAGAAAGAGAGAGCGACAGAGAGAGGGCGAGAGAGCGAGAGAGAGAGAGGGAGAGAAATACGATACGATACTTATTCCGATGTAATTAGGTATTGTCTCGTATCTATGCTGGAGATACCGAATGGATCGACTATGAATTGGCAGAAATTGAAGATACGACCAGAATGGAGAGAGAAGCAAAAGAGGAAGTCGCTGGTGCGTATATTTTAAAGGGATTGTGACAGTTTGCACAAACAACCTTTAGCAAGCTAGTTTTTTAGGCGGCGGCCCGGTATTCTTCCGTATTCTGGGAACGCCCCATGTCCGAAAGGCTCTGATAATTGGATGTCTCCTTCAGATGTTCCAGCAATTGTCCGGCATCAACACATTAATGTGAGTGTTTTCTAGGTTATCTAGATGCTACATTGTCGATTTTACATTTAAAATTCAAAAATTTTGAAATTCTAAGTTATCAACTATTATGACTGCTTAATTGTCAGCCCGGTTAGCTATTTTTAACGAAAGAATTACAATTACAATTACAACACGCCCAAAATACAATTTAAAAAGTTTCAAATTGCTAATTGCCATCCAGTTTACCGATTTTTAACTTTAAGAATCGAAAGCTATGGAAAATTTAAATTCTGCGATTTCTAATTTTTAGTTACCTGCCAGTTACGTATTGGTTCTAAGTGGCAGTAGACACCTTTCCATCCAACTTACACCCCCGTATGTTTCAGGTATTACTGTGGAACGATTATTCGATCGGCTGGTGTGAAAGACAACCACATGACGATCTGGATCTCGGCTGCTGTTTCGAGTGAGTCTCTTTATTTTGCGCCCTAATTAGCGTATGTCCTGCTAGGTATCAACTTCTTCTGCACCTTCATTCCAATGGCCCTTATCGATCGATTGGGGCGACGAGTTCTATTCTTGATCTCAGTTTGTGGTGTTATTGCATGTCTATGTATGATGGCTGGTGCATTTATTGCTATTAATAAGGCATGTTTTGGATGGAATACGTTCGGGAAAACGGCGGTGAAAATTCCAAAATAGCATTTTTAAAAATTGGAAAAATAGATCGAGTTGCTAAGCTAGATTCAACCAAATAAAACTTGAACTTTAATGATTTGTCTTTTTTTAATCGATTACCGTAGAATAACGAAGCGCAAAAAATCCAAAAATTCTTTTTTCAAAATAGATTTAAATCGAAACTTTAAGCGCTGTAATTGTAAAAATTTCATGTTTTTACTGCAGGATCAATTTTATATCAATCGTGCCATTTAATTATTAGCGAAAATTAAAATTAATACAAAAATCTAAATTAATTTATTCAGGATTCCTCCCCAAACTTCAAAGCTGAACAATACAACGTGGATAATATGTATGATCCAACCGTCAAAAATGCCGACTTCTGTAGAAAGTTCAGGTAAAAAAATCGCCGTAAGCAGGTTTAATTTATTTTTTAGTAATTGCGATTTCTGCGTGACGGCTGATAGCTGTGGATTTTGCGAGGATCATGACACAAAAACGGTAGGACTCTAAAGGACTTCAAAATGAAATTTTAATGCAAATTACGATAGCCTAAAAATATATGGATTTTTCAGGGCTGGTGTCTACCGTTTCCGGACAAGAAATTCGGACAAGTATTCCGCGACTGGCGCATGTTTGAATGGAGATTTTACCGTTAATGTAAGTCAGGGATTAGATCGCGTAATCAATTCGTCCTGCGTTTTCTCGTGCGAATTTTTATTTCCAATCGATTTGATTTCATTTAATTCTGTAAGGGTTTTATGTGAGCGTTAAAGTCACTACAGTACCCTGTTTCAGGGCACCAACGCGAAATTGAGCGGGGTGGCGGACACGTACTGTAAATCGAAATTCACCTGGATGCCGATTGTTATTATGGTGCTGTATTTGGGGTCATTTTTCGATTGGTAAGTCGAGAAATACTGTAGGAAATTTTATCGCAGTAGTTTTATTAGGACGACTGTATGGCAGTCAGCATAAAAAACGCATTAATTAAACCCCGAATCATAAATACTACAGGAAATTTGATAGCTAAAGGTTTATTACGTCTACTGTATGCCAGTTAAAATCAAAACATAAAAAATTACACGATAAAACGAAAGTAAGTGTCGGCATCATAATCCACCAGTTTTTATTTGTCTACTGGAGGGCAGTTAGCATAAAACACAACTTTTCCAGGGTACGCCCCGAGTGCCGTGGGTGCTTAACTCGGAATTCTATCCGTTGTGGGCCAGATCAACTTGCGTATCGATTTCCACGGCTTCCGAACTGGATTTTCAACTTAATTGTTTCGCTCACGTTTTGTCGTTGTCTCAGGCGCTGACAAATATGGTAAGGGGATATACCCAATTGGATAGAAAATTAGTAAAACCTTTTGGAAGAACTTTCGAAAAATTCTTATTTCCAGGAACTTTCCTTCCTCTACGCCGCCCCTATACTGTAATCGCGCTGGTTTTTGTGTTTTTCTTTGTTCCCGAGACGAAGGGGAAGAGTTTGGATGAGGTACGGTAATCAGAAAATTCCTAAAAAATTCCTAAAAAATTACTGCGTTTTTGGCAGGCTAATCCCTTGATTTCTGTTTTTTTCGGGTTGGTAATGTGTGTCCATGACAGAAGACGTGCGAAAAGAGCGTTTGGCCCGGATACAGGAGAAGGTCTGTCGTTCGGAGTTTGTATTCTGTAGTCCGTAGTCTGTAATTTCTAGCGCTATTCAATACCCAAGAGCTGAATTCTTGTAGTCAGCAAGCCCGCGGCTTAAATTCACTAAACTTATTGTAGTCTGTGGTCTGTAGCCCATAGCCGCCTTTTGTAGTTTGTAGTCTGTAGCCCTAATTCAATTTGTGATTAAAATCGAAATTCCAAAAACCCAGTCAAATTGTAGTTTGTAACCTAATGGGACGATGATCTAGATGTAGTTTGTAGCCGATAGACTAGAGTCCCTAATTGTAGCCTGTATTTTTCAGGCAACAAAAACGGCCGTGACCGCGAGAGCTCGATGCGGGACAAATTCCTGAGCCCGTAACTAACCAAAGACACCATGTAAATACGATAAAGCTTTATCATTTTATTCGCCATGATCAAAGGTTTTGACGTGGTCATTTTCGGGTGGATCGTCTGTAATAAAATGGATAATCTGCTTTTGCAGAATAAGAACTTACAGTCATAGGATTTTGTTTCACTCCAAAGTCCTCCAACGGCTTAAGCATTTGGTGGCTAGTTGGTAGAAAAATAGAATTCAGGAAATCTGAGCTAAAATATTTACAAACTATAGCTCGTTTTCTCTCTCCCTCTCTCCATCTCCCTCTCTCTCTGTCTCTCTGTCTGTCTCTCTCTTGTCTCTATCGCTCTACTCTCGCTTACTCTCTCTCAAACTCTCTCTTCCTCTCTCTCTCAAACCCTCCCACTCTCTCTCCCTCTCTGGCTCTCTCTCTCGGCTCAAACTCTCTCTCTCCCTCTCCCTCTCTCCCCTAAACTTTCTCTCTCACTCACTCTCTCGCTCTCTCTCATCCAACTGACTCCCTGATCCGCTTCTTCTCCCGAAATTCAGCCGCGAAATAATATTTCGAAGAGATTGAGCCGAGGCTCAAACCCGATATCGGTCATTACTCGAAACAATAGACAATAGACTACCTACAGATGTCAATAATTCCCAGGTGAAAAATTCAGGAAAAAGGCACGTGGCTGACTGATCCCCCCCTCTGCCCCCTCCTCAATTCCTGTCACGAGGCAAATATCGTAAAAATGCTTTTTACCTTTGCAGCCATTTCCGGTGGAAAAAAAAACGATTTTTCGAGTGAGCGGCGGCCATTTGAAAAGAGTTCTGGTCATCAAAAAAAGCCAAAAAAAATACTACCTAGGTTTTTAATAGGCGGTGAACTCACCCTTTTTTTTGGTTAGAACCCGGCCCTTCGGCAAGCTTCCGCAGAGATTCTTTGCGCAAGGAAGCGCTGGTAATTTTGGGGTGCCAAAAGCCACACCAAAAAGTTGGGCAGGCTAGCAGCATAGATATAAGAATTCGGCCTTCAGCTAAAGAAGTGCAAAACACATTTGAAAACGCAAAAAAAGCATTAATTTTCTGATTCAATTTTAGAACCACTTAAAATTAATTTTAGAATTTTCAGGATTTAGCCAGTTGCGTATATTAAAATTAGTGTAATTTAATTATAAATGCATGCAAATGGAATTAAATTTAGTCCCAAGGGTCCAAAAATTGCGTCGTCCGTTGCTCAAGTTGCTGATTGGACAAACAGAAAATCGAGAAAGAAGGATGGAGTAGAAATGGGATTCGGAAATCCCATTTCAAACCCTTTCAAACATTTGTATTTTCTTTTTCGTTTTTTTGTAGTTTTTCGATGGTCAAAATGTCAATAGAATTGAGAAGGAACGGCAAAGGCAACTGGACATTTGATCTTTGGACCCGCGAATCGCCCGGGCTGAATTCTGCAATGGTTTTATTGCCTCTTTTTTTTTGGGTTTCAAGAGTCATTTTTCCGTCCCTTTTCATCTGTATTTGTATTTGCATAGCCTTCTTAAGGCTTTTTCTGAATTTCTATAGCTTGCATAGGCTGTAACGCTGATCTAAAACGTAAGAAAAGCGATTTATTCACATTTTATGAGCCATAAAATCCATACCCGTCTCAGAAATGGTCAGCTAGCAAGGATCCACGTGCAAGAAATAGAAAATTACGATATGTATAGAAAACCATGAAAATTTTAGAAAAATTGACAGACAGTTAAAATATACTAAGCGTTTCATGGCCAAAAATTAATAAATCACTATAAAATTTTGAGAAAAATCGGATTCCGGGTTAAAAATGGCAGGAATTAAATATGTTAAATCAATAAATTAGCATAAAACTGAGTTAACGCCTAATAATCGGTCCATTTCAAATTCTCCGCATTTTCCTGGCCATGTTCATCAGCTCGAAAATTGCCCAACGTTGCTTTTGCTTCTTTTTCGATGAGTCCCACCAGCCAAGATGGTAATTCTGCCGTGAGTCCCACGTTTTTTCCGAGGTTACTGTAACTTTCTCAGGTGCTTAATTTCAGATTCGGTCGTACTGGCAGCCACCCCAGCCATATCCGCCGTTAAAACGGCCATAGTAACCGACCGTTTTCTTCGATTTTCGAGGTTACTGTAGCTACCGTGGCAACCGTTGTCGATTCGATTACGTCATTTAATGTTCTATCTTCTTGTCTTTTCTGTACATTAACCAGTTCTGTGGTCGAATTGCCATCGATTTTAGCCCCTTTCGTGGTTTCCGGGCTCACAGTCCTCTCCTCCACCTCACTGATCGATTCGATTACGCCATCAAAATCTATAGGGCGCAATCCTTCAGATTTGTTGGACTGAGGCCGAAACTCGATAAATTTCTGGTTCGCAAGTCAGAATGGCTGTTGTCCAAGCTTGGCAGCTGCCGGTTTTCACGCTTCCCGATCCGCTTTTTGGGCTTCAAGTTCCGGGAAGTTCCGGCTGGGCAAGTTCGAGCTGTCCACTCCCCTTCGATAGCTTCGTTTTCAAGCTTTTCCACTTTTTCGCCTTTTTTCTGCCTCGGCTTCTTCCTTTTATGGATTCCCTTCTGCTTTCCCTTCATTCTCCTTTTTAGCTTTGTGTTGATAATTTTAGTGGTAGTGGGGGTTGTAGTTTGTACTACTTCCCCCACTGTATCGTTCCGATAGTGTCATTTCCGCCTTCTTTTCCTCTTTAGCCTCAATACCCTGGCTGGTGGGATCAGGATTTCCGAGACTTGCAGATCCGACAGTTTTCCATCAGTTTCGTAATCAGATCGTACTGTAGCTTTATCGATCTGAGGGTTAGCTTTTTAGAAATCTTTAGGATTTTGCTGGCTTTGAAGCGATTTTTAACTACATATAGATCTGTGAAAAAAATATTAGGGCTGAATCTACTATAAAATAAACAATCTTCACGGCTAAAATGGACGCCAGAAAGCGATTTTTACTACAAAAATTTATTAAAAGTCATGAAAACTCAGATTATAGCAAGCCAAATATTTTCCTGGCCGACTGGCTTGGCATAGAAACCATTTTCCAGGTTAAATTTGATGAAGGCAATTTAAAAATTGAATTGACGACAAAAATTGTGCTTTACTTGCTAAACTGGCATCCATAATAGCTAATTTCCACGTTAAAAATTATTTAAAATGTGATTTTAGTTCAGTTTACCATATAAAGAACCTCATCATGCCCCGGCCCGTGATAGACAAATTCGGCCTCATTATTCGGCAGAGAAGCACATTTATGGCCGCAACACCAGCCGCCAACCTGGAAAGTTGTGAAGCTTTTTTGGTAAAGGATTAATGTAACCAGAAACAATGAAATTCCTAATCAAATGAAACGTGAAAAAATTCTGGATTTTTCAGATTCAGTTCCAGTGTTGGAAAACCAAAAAAATCGGCCCACCTTTTCGTCATTAGTCGTCGTAATGGAAAAGCTGTATTTTCCCTCGTAGCGATGTTTACGTGAATTTAATTCCCTCTGAAAATCCATTTTTTGGCTTTAAAAGTTCATGTTGTATCTTTTCCGAAATTCAGTAATCTGAACTTATGGAAAGTTTTTGAGAATAAACTGAAACATACAAATAAATTTTTAATCCAATTTAATTAAACTTCTTGCCTAGAAAATCGTTGTTGTTTTTTGCTTACCAATCTGTGACTTCGACATGACAACCCGTTATTTAGATTGCAAATGGCCAGTGGCAGCATTTCACAAATAGCAGAGCCATAATTCGCGCCAGCCACCGAGACGAAAGTGTCTACCTGCAAACAAAATATAGCCCGGTTATTTTAGGCTTTATCCATACTAATTTGGAACATTCCGGACTTTAAAAAATTTTCAAAAAAAAACGTTTTTACGAAATCAACGAAATTCCGTAGGGCTACAAACGCCAGACAAAAATTTTACAGTTGACTGGCAGGCAGTTTGGCTATTAACAGCTAAACTGCAGATAACCTTAAAGAAAGGATTAAAAACCCAAGCTACAACCTTCAAATGTATTTTTAGGTATATTGGCATCCATTTTGGCTAACAAAAATATGAAGCCACAAACTACAAGCTCCAGATGATTTTTTAGGTATCCTGGCAAACAGTTTAGATTTTAACGGCCTTAAAAAATTGTTAAATAGCTTTAAAAACCCACCAAATGCGTCAGCGGTTTTCCGAGATATATACCATTACAATCCCCTCCCAGTATATAGCCCCTCTCGTAATTGGAGCACACCCATCGAAAAAACCACAATATCAATCTTCCTCGATCCCGTATATTCATGGATTGCATCGATCATTATGAGAATCATGACAGAGAAAGAAGCGTATTTTTATAAAAAATCCCTTACCTGTCTAACAAACGGCATTCCATTTTTACCAGAACCATAACCGCCTCGCCCGGGGCCCGTTTCCCCACGTTGTTGCATACGGCTTAAAATTAGTCTAATTTTTTAAAATCAATTTTAAATGCTTTAGATTTCTATTTAAAACCTCGGCATCGGTGTATCCCTTATTGTACAGATATTTCCGGAGCATTAGAAAACGGCCGGCTGTTGTGGCGACGCCGTGCACCATTAGGACCGGCTAAAATCGAAATTTTAAAAACTCATCAATTAAAAAAGTTTTTTTTTTTTTTTTTTTTTTTAGGCCGATTGAACAACAGGTAAACTAACTGACAGGCCAACAGACGAACCAAACACCAAAAACCAGAAAATTGGTTTTCTGGCCCTAAAATAACAATTTTAACACCATGGAGCATCAGGAAATTGCCGTAAAAGCGATAAAAAGTGCTAAAAATTCGAGAAAATCTATAATTTTGTCGGCGGATTTTCAGATCGATAAATAAAATTACATATAGACAGAAATACAAATTATATGACAAACACCACAAATCTCAAAAATCTATAAAAAAAAATTTATCGATAGCCAGACCCAGCCAAATTGGTGCCGAAATCCCAATTTTCGCCGGAAAATTAAGTATAAATTAAATCGAAACACGATTAATTTTACAGACTGCCACCCAAGGTTACAAACTATAAAAATTTCAAGCCCCCACCTGTTTCCGAATCTCCTGATCCGGATGTAAATTTGCCTCCAAAGAAGCACCTTTAGCTGTATTCTTTTCGCTCCAATAAATTGAAAAAGGGGTAGCTTGGCCGACAGTATCCAGCAAATATCCATAAAAATCAGGGGTGAAACCGGCGTGTTGAGCCGTAGATTTAGCTATTAATGCATAGAGGAAGAATAGGCATTTTGATATAGAACATTAGAAGATGATAGAAGGAAGAGATATCCGCATTTGATGCTATCTGAAAAGCTCCTATAAAATGCCATAAGAAAACAGTAAAAACGTTCGTAAAAGAAGTAATGCATGACAGAAACCACCATTTTAACGAAGGTAAAAATGACAAATGACTCCCTGGGGGCGAGTGGAACGAGCGAAAAACTAGGGAGAAAACGCCAAAACAAAGGACAAGCCGCGGGAAGCACGGGGAATGGCAGGTCAAGGTCGAGGTCGGCAACACACATGGCATTCCATGGAGGCACGGATAGGACCCCCCGGGGCCGCGGGCGCAATCGGTTAGCGCCGATCCCAAATCTCAAACAGAGGGTCTGGTTCGACCCCCCGGGACCAACGTGCAACCGCTATTTCTCCCCCAAAACCTTTGCCAAGCTTTTTTGCGTTTTTGCTTAAAAACTGTGCTCCAGCCATTGAAAACAACTAAAACAATAAGAATCTGGAAAAATTAACCCGATCAAAAAGAGACGGTTGATCCAATAGCGTACATTTTCTTAAAACAGTCACTGGAGCCATTTTAAGCGTCGATTTCGGGCAATGGGGGTAATGGACCCAGATTTTACCAAATCTAGGCTCAGATTTTAGCGACAATGCTTGGTTTCTGCGTTATTTAAAACCGCACAAAATCCCTGAACTGAACCTCCAAAAAGACCATCACAAAAAAGTACCAGAATAGATTTTCGATAAGTTAGGTTCTCAAAATCTGCGCCTTGGCGTCTAGAATATTTAAATCCAATTGAGTTTCTAATTTTCGTATTACATTTCGAGGAAAAATCTAGTTTTGTCCAAAAGTTGGTGTCATTTTCGAACAAAAACGTAGCGAGAAGCGCTCTCCCCTTGTTCAAGGGAGCCTGCCGTAGCCCAAAAGCTATCCGTGCCTGCCTGTTAAAGCCTGGATATGGCGTGCACAACAGCTAGCAGCACCGCTTTTTGTAAAAAAGGGCGAGCTAGCAGAGATTCTTGGTAAAAAATTTGTTCCTAGTTGCCAGATTGACTTTCTCAATCAGAAATCCCTACAGTAAATCCAAATTCGGGGTAAAAATGCGTAAACTAGAGTTGAAGTGGTGATCTGGCATCCAAAGAAGAGCTTTTTAGCTGGAAACTTGGCAAGCTAGCAGAGGTTCTTGAAGTGTAAGTTGTTTCCCGGAGGCCGGCTTGACTAGCTAAACCCTAAAATAGCTACATTAGGAATCGGATTATCTCCAAAAAAGGAAAAGAAGTTCGAGCGGATGTTACCCATAAAGCGGCATCTCGCCCAGCGAAATAAGGTCAATCTAGCAAAGATCCTTTAGGAGAAACCTGTTCCCGGATGCCAGTTTGGCTATTTGAAGTACTAACTAAAAACGATAGCTCATCTTTGTACGATACCGTCAAAATAGGAGCTCAACGATCGCCCTGCAACCAAGTGTGTGCTAATTCTCAGAGACATATCTGCCATCTGAAGCCTCAGAAAACTCAAAATAAAACAATAGAGAGATTGATCTTCATCCCCCCCCCCCTCATCGTGTTGTCATGTCAAAAATGAGGGGACGGGAGGGGAGTGGAGGCGAGAAAAAGAGTCGAAACTGGAACTTGTTAAACGGGAGGAGGAGGGTGTGCATAAAAGGGCGTGAAAAGACAGGTGTAAAAGGAGGGAATAGAGGATGGAACTTCTTCATGTGTCAAGTCTTTACAAAAGAGAAAAAGAAACGGGGCTGAATAATCGCAAAAGTATGTCCTTCAGATGGGCGGGAAAACAGGAGAGGCCTCTGGCGTCAGGCCACAACTGAAAAGTCGGGAATTGGGCTAACTAGCAGGGATTTTTCAGGAAAGTATGGAAAAGGCAAGAAAAAACCCGCAATGCGCGACGAAAAACGCGAAACCGTTTCACTTCAAAGAGCATGTAATAATTCGATTTAAGTAGCGAAAAGCTGAGTACCAGCAGGGATCCTTGAGGAAAATCTAGAAAAACCGGGAAACCACCTAAAACTGGAAGTTTCTAGAAAAACTACGCTCAAATAGTGGCCAAAATAACTTATTTCAGCTAGGAATTCTAAGGAATGCTTTTCATGCAAACACAGCTCTGTAAAAGCCGGGGACTTGGCAAACTAGCAGGGTTTCTTGGAGAAAGTTGCGAAACATCGCCAAAATTCAGAAATTTCCTGAAAAAAAGCCAATTTTCGCTCAGTTACTTCTAAAAGAGCGATAAAATTGTGCAATTTAAAGTAAAAATCTATCTAAAATTTCCGAGCTATGGCTTTAAAATAGCTCTAAAATGTAAACTACCTCACTTTTTTAAAACTCAATTCCGCCCGATAATTCCACGATGAAAACACGCAAAGCTTGCCATCGGCCGCCTCCTTCCGTTTCGAGGGAGTTTTGGGGCGTTGCTCGCCGCTTTTCCGCTGTTCCTTCGTCTTTGACGGTGGTCGGTGGTGCGGGCTATGTGGAACATGTTGGGTATCCAGTTCTCCTCCTGCTTTTTGTTGACCATCAACTATTTCGAGTTGTCGCATCGAAGGGGCATGCAGGGCGATTCGTTGATTTATTCTGCCCCCACTCTGCTGAAGAATGTCGGTCGAAATAGCATACATAATGACGATTTGATGGTTTGTCTGGGAAATCGTAATTTTGGCAGGAAATGGGCATGAGATCGCCACGATTTGACAGCAAGAACACTAAAAAACCTATTTTATCTAAGTTCACAGTTTCCGGGTAAAAAAAAATCCAAATTCTAGGAACTTGGTTGAAAATCTAAAAGATTTTAAACCGCTAGGAAAGCCTAAACCTTCAAAACAGTTTTTCCAAAACAAAGTAAGCAACTTTTGGGCTCCAAAATCCAATCCGAAGTTCGATCCTTATCAAAAAAGACTCTTAGATCGTGTTGGAACGTCAAAAAAAACCTACTGGAAAACGTAAAAAAGTTATGTAGATGCCAATGTCGCCTAAAAGTACTTTTAAACCGGGTAAAAACTATAAAAAAAGACGGCAGATCTGTAAACCCCTGCTCAACGACCAAAAATTATTGCTAAACTACCGCCCCAAACAACCACCCCAAATTTCAGCCCGGGGTCAGCACCGACTGGCTGGTAGAGCGCGGCGGAATTGAAACTGGTTGAAACTCTTCGGCCTGAAAAAGAGGAGCACGAGAGAGGGAGGGAGGTGTTTGTTGGTGGGGCTGATGCCGATGGTCAGAAGAGGGAGCAATAGAAGGGGAATACAGAAGAACCAGTTCTATCGAAAAGAAGCTGCTGATCCCTCGAAAAGAGGCGCAGCAAGATGGCTGAATAAATTCACGGGGGCGATAGCCGTGAAGTACCCATATCCTGGCAGCAGCAAAGGATGATCGAATGGCAACGCTGGGAGAGCTTTTCTAAACGATTAGGAAACTGGGATTTGGTTTGCAAGCTCGCAAGCTGGTTTTCCAAGTTCCCAATCGGAAACGCGAAAGCCGAATTTTATAGAAAACTTATTTTTTTAATTATCCCAAGGTTTCTAGCAATCAAAAACGGCCAAAACCATTATAAAACACAATTTCTATTTTCAACGGGCGGAAAAACCGAACAATAGTCCCCCCTGCTAGCAGTCCAGTACCAACGCGCGCGACCCTCGAAGAAGCACTCAAAAATCATCCATGCTAAACAGAACTTTCTATTAAACGTACTTTTAAGAAGCAAAAACGATTTCGACACCTAAACTCTCAACCATTAAAACCCCTTCCATACTTTTGCACTTCCCTATTTTAAATCCAAAAAGACGATTAGTGAATTTATTGATAGCAAATCGAGAGATCAATAGCAAAACAACAGCGGGCACACCGGGAGGTGACCCGATAAAAAGTTCAAAATGAAAAATACTCGTCGAAAAATCGGGGATGGGCCGTCACGGCGGGGCGCGCGCGATTCATTGAAGTCTTTCTTTCGGCTCCATCAGGATGACGGACGAGCCACGGATCACGATCTGGCCAATCGGGGAATCCTCGCCGTTCTGAAACAGAGAAAATTAAACATTACTCGAAAGGGTTAATCAAATAAAGCTACGCCTTAAAAAGTTAATTTACGTACAAAAAGCCACGAGACGGAAAATTAAATTTGCCTAAACCGACTCGAAAAGCATTTTTTTGCAACGTAAGACTATAAAGGATGATTCAAGCGTTGAAAAACGCCAAAAATCAAATAACCTTTTGGTGCTCGACGGCCTCATCGATGACCATGTTCATGAAGGGGTCGTAGCCACGAAGAATGCCTGAAAAAATTATCATAGGAAAGGTGCAAGAAAACGTACCGGAAACGCGTCGGTTGCCGTTGAGTTTGAGCTCGAGCTCCTTGTCCATGTACTTCTTCAGCTCTGGCGGGTGGGTCTTGCTCATTTTGGCTGGAAAAGGGGGACAAATTTTCGTGCGGAGGAGAACGTCTCGAAAGATGAAAAAAAAAACCAAATGATGCGTCGAATTGAGAAAGCTCCGACAAACAATTGGAAAGATTGAAGCGGCTAAGGTTTAGAAACTAGGTTTTAGCTCTATTTGAATGACCAATAGACTTGTGGAGACGGTGAGTAGCGCCTATTTTGAAAATTAGTAACTCGGAGGATGCAGCTATTTCAAAGCCAAAATTAGGGAGTTTTCAGAAGCCGAGTGCAAAAAGCGATAGGTCTCGACGCCGGATGTATTTCTAAGCAGTGAGAAGAACCTTATTTCAAAAGCAGAAAGGAGTAGGGGTGGAGGCAACTATTTCAAAACAAAAATTCGAGTTTTTGGCAGCAAAAACGTGAGATTTCGGCGCAATCGATGTTTCTGGGCAAAACCACAAGCTAAAGCGTGTTTAGAAAACGAAGAAACGCAAGATTTCTAAAAAGAATCGAAAAACAAAAGCAAAAGGAAAAATGATAGAACTTTTCAAAACCGTGGGCCCGTGAGATTTTCGGAAAGGGGCGCCGGGCGTCAGCCGTGTAGTTTTGTGGCTGGGGCGCGCTTTAGGCGACAACACCCAGAATGAGAGTTGTACAATACCGTACTTCCTGGAATGAAAATGAAAAATTCTTGAAAGGCTAATAAAATGCTAGCATATAGTTGAAGTCACACCTTTTAGCGAGTTCGAGCTGTTTTCAAGGTAAGCTGCTCGAGAACCGGCTGTAATTGGCGAGAAACTGACGTAAACCAGACCATCTTACGTTTTTAGTACTTAAAATGCTTAAATTATTAGTATTAGTGATCAACTATTGATTTCCTGTTATTTCGGAAGTTTCGCCGTTCGTTTAAGGCATTTAAAGGCCATTACAACACAAATGTTAGCCGATTTGCCGCTATAGTTTGGTCAATTTTAAGTGCGCTTTCCAATCTTACCGCACATGGGGCCGTATATTTCCAAAGAACGGAACTAATGTTTTGGGTGCAATTTTCTCGTCAAACCAGCGTGCCGCCCAGTAATTCCATAAATCGGGTAAAAACCCAGGGTAATCGGCGGCGATACTTATCTGGGGGCACCTGATTGAGTTTTCGACTCCGCTGAACGTTGGCTGTTTTTTAACGTTCAGAAGCTTATAAAAACCATCTAATAAGTATGGATTATAATACAACACTATCTTCTTTATTAACTTCTGATTCAACTGAAAGTTTTTTCTTCGACATCATCTTCTGATGGAGAAGAAACCACCACTGAAGATTTATATGAATACGGCGAGGGTTTATACGGTTGTGCCGACTATTATGGTTTGATATATGAGAATATTGTTGGAGGAATTCATGAATGGAATGCGATGCCTATTAGAGGGAATCCAATCTGCAAACTGATCCTTATGTCGTTAGCGCTCTCATAATTGTGGGTATTTTTTCAGGCTAAACTCGCAAAATTTCAAAAATAAATTTTTGTAAACTATCAACATTCTAAAACTACAAAAATGCGATTTAGTTTGGGTTGCCTCGGGCTATCCCTCTCCAGTTGCTGCTTCTACATTCTATATCGTAATCCATTAATTTCGTGGGCCGTCAAGTGCTATCTCGTTTTCGACAATTGCTGTCGATGCTACGAGGCCGTGAATTGTCTATTTCTTGTACACTGTGTTATTACGTAAGCGGCAATTATAAACTATTCTAAAGCCGCCTGCCAAGCGAAAATTAGCTTAATTCGCTTTAAAACAAGTTTTTAATCCAGTTGGTGGTGCGTTGATACTTCTGGATCTCCCTTTAACGGTATCTTCTTCAATTCCCTGGTCACTTCCATCAATTTGGGCATGCTATATTCGATGCAATTGTTGGGGAATGCCCTTTCATTAAATAGGTATTGTCGAAACAGACTTAAAATGAAACTTTAGAGTTTTCGCCGTATTTTTCAACGGTCGCTATTATAAAACCATGGAACAATTTGCTTTTCCGCATGCGTTAATCTCATGGCTATTACCGATTGCCGTCTATTTGTTTCAAATGGGCAATAGTGAGTTAAAGAAAACGCCTTTTGGGGCATTAGCGTCCTCGAAGCATAATTGGAAACGTCGGCTTGGGACATAAAAACGCGCGTAAATGACTGCACCGGCTGGTAGGTGCATTTTCTACCGATTAAGACATGTAATTTAACTTTTTCGTCTATAAAAAACTTGTCTATGAAATTTTAAGGTTTTTAGATAAAAATTAATATTTTTAACCAGCGCGATTGGGCGTTCGGAAAAAATTAAACCTTTTTTTAGCTATCAAATAGCTTCTTTTTCGTCGCTTTCTAAAATGTTAATTCTTTTAAGCCATTAAATCCAGGAAATAAAGCTATTTTTTTCAGTAATGAACCCTTTAACCGGCTACATTTGCTATGGTGGCTGGTGGTTCAGCCCCCAAGAGTATGTCAATAATAGCTGGTATACTTGGGCCGGCCAGCTGGGAGTATTTCTGGTTTCTGATCTCGACAAGGTGTTGTATGGTGTATTTGGCATTACCCTCATTATGGATGCTATCACTCTATGGAGGGTACGCAAATTGGTGAGTCATGAAAGTATGCTTGGAATTTAATAAAAAACTTTATAGACTCGGCTATCTGAACGAAGAAAACGAGCCGATGTCAGGTTATCGATTATGGTATGTGAAATTTCAAATAGGGCTTAAATAACGAATTTCACAGTTGCTAATAGCGATTAAAATTTCGAATTTTGTAGTGGTCAAATCAAATTCCATTCAAATCCTAAATTTTGCTAGAAACAATTTTCGTAACATCCAAACTGAACGAAATTCGCCGAAATTGATGAAACGACGCCCATATAATCACTTATGCCATGAATTTGCAGAGTAAATTCTATCAAAAATAACTTTTTCAGTTATTGGTAACCCACTTGGTGACGGTCACCTTCCTATTCGGCAATTTTATCGCGAACTATGTTATCCAAAACTCCTTCCCCATTATATACTTTTCCGTGTTGGAAATTGTCCCATTTACGGGACACGCCATGCTCACGTAAGTTTCTGCCAACTTCTTAAAGCGATCAAAACGAAAAAATTAAATTTACCGTGGAAGCTAAGCTATAAAAATTATTTAAGCAAATAGCCGTGCTCGTTTTTTTGTGAGTCAGTCATTCTAATCTCTGAATTTCAGGCTTATTGTCATCCTGTTCAACATCCCGCCAAAAGCGAGGACCGAGAAAGCGGCTAACGTTACTGTTACCAATTTTGGGAGTGGCAGAAATGACACTACAAAGATTACTAGAATTGAATAAATCTTTGGTTAGCTGGATTTTGTGAGCTTGATAAAGCTTTGTTTCGTTTAACTGGTTGCCACTTAACACCAATAAATGACAACTACAAACTACAATTTAATCCATTTCAGTTTTTGTCATTTTTCCAGAGATTTGGCCCTTTTTTGAAATCCCATGTTTTATCCGCGCTAATGGCTCCAAGACCAGCAAAACGATCGTAGCTAGGAAATGGGCAAGTTTTGAGAAATCGTCATGACACTCCGCGTTGTTAGGCCGTTTTTTGGAATCGGAATTCCCAAGATGAAATCGGGAAATCCTTAGATTCAGTCGCAAAGATGTTCAACAAACTTTCGGCTCTTCTCGCCGTTGCTTTGGTAGGCAGTTTGCAGTTTAAAGATTGTCTATACCTTCTATAACCTAGATTGGCTGTGCGGGCGCGGCGGACTACGTCCTGGCGTGGTCTGGAACCTGCGCGACGACGTCGTCGAACAGTGTCGTCTTCACAATCTTCGGCACGGCTAGCTCCAGCGGATGGCAAGTCGTTTAGGGATGTGATTTAGCCTCGAACATACCGTATTTTTTCTGTTGCCGTATGTGTCAACAAATTTTTTAACTTAGCATTTGTACGACATATTTTAGGCTGGGTTTTTCGGTGATGTCTCCAGGGAATGACCGCGCGACAAACATCAAAGACAAAACGGCATCATCAGTTCAACTTGAACATCACCACTGATGGAAAAGTGATCATGAACGATAAAATCGTGAGTCGATTCGCTTGGCTTGTCAGCCGCAAATTTCATGTTGTAATGTTAGTCTATTTTGAGCCACAGAATTGTGAATCTTAACTCCGTATTGACAAAATTATTTATTTCGAAGCCGTTGAAGTCTACTTGGACTGTACTTTGCCTGTACTCTATTTTAGAAGAATCTCGGGTGGCGTGGGGCGAAGAAGAGGATCGAGAAAACGCAATCATTCTTCACTACCGGCAACCCCTACTCCTTCACCGTTACGTCAGTATTTCACGACAGTTTTGCAATTTATCGTCTTTTTCAGCTTCGTCAAGGCGCAGAATTACCAGTGGACACTGGCCGCTACCGGATTTGTGGGCTTAGAAATGTTTTTAGCCATCAAAAACTTAGAAAACAACGGCTTATTTGATATTTTAGACCTCGGTTTCGATGAAGACACGGCTGAAGGGCCGAAGTTGGCCAACATATTCCGTGACTGGGGGAACCATTGGCAGCACTACAAACATGACCTGCACCTGAAGGGGGCGAACGCAATTGATAAAACTACGCCCGCTAACCCCGATAAATACATTGTTGACAAAGAAATTATTCGGAAATCAACAACGCAAAAACAAGTTAAATCAACTGCCCGGATAAAAATTCGAAGATGATGAAAGATTTCAGCGGCAAAACGTGAAACAATCTAATCATTATAGTTGCTTCCAGACAACAATAATGCTGGCCAAAAATTTCGTCTGGAGCTCACGGAAGCATATCTATCTATTAGTATTTACATCCGGCCCTCCAAAACATGTTATCCCTCTCAAGACATCTCGTGAGAATACTCGAAGTATCTAAGTAGTTAGTACCTTCTTCTTCTCTTTCCCTACCATCCCCACTTCTCCATCGCTTAAATAATTCCTCCCCTCTCTTCTATCTCTCTCTCTGTCTCTCTCTCTCTCTCTCTCTCTCTCTCTCTCTCTCTCTCTCTCCTCTTAATTAATTACCGTCTCCTCGTAAATGCCCTCCCCTTTCCATCCATCGTAAATACCTAAATCCTCTGCTATTTGGTATTCCGGCCCACAACATCGTATTCTCCACGCATCACACACCCACTAATTGCAATTATCCTACCGTAATCCCCTCTGCTGATCCACAGGAAATCCACAGGCAAGTCACAAATTTCTGGAATCTCATTGTTGCATTTGCGGAATTTTGACTTGTTGCAATTTTCTATTGCATGCCAGTTTTTAAAGGGACCGGCAAGTCAGTCTGTGGATTGTATAGTCATGGATCTGGACTTTTAAAACGCGTCATTCTTCTTTAGGTTCTTCTCCTGTTCCCTGGCCATAAAATTTGCTTCTCAGTCCCTTTAGTGAATGAAGTAGCTTTGTTTGATCGTGTCGTAAGCGTGATATTTATTTGTCATAGCTTCTCCCTGATTATTATTCTTCATCTTTTTTTTTATTTTCTTCCCGTAATCCACCTGCCTCAATTTTCTAGCCATCTGACTGCCAACTAACCAAGCCAATCAACTCGACGGCTAATAGCCATAGTCATAACGAGCACTTTTGTTGTCTCACAGCGCTTCAGTCACTCGGCTAGAATCCTAGGTAATTTGTATCGAGATGGAGAATAAAGTAAATAACTCAGCTTATTAGATACAAAAATTTTTTCAAGATATCTGGCTGGTAGCGAATGATTTCTGAGAAAGGACCATAAAAATAACGAGACACACACGATTTTGGCACTTTCTAGCCCCTTAAACCCGCGAAAATCATTTCGGCACGGCAGCTTATCGTTTGACCTCAATTCCATGTAAATCAGTGCTTGGTCACGTTTTTGTACGTACATACGCTGCTACGTGCCGTCCGTTTTTCCGTGCGTTTTCGCGCTCCGGGTCGATTTCGAGGATGGTTCGGGTGTCAGAGCGCGGGCAAAAGCGTTCTAAAAATTTTCGCGCTCCGGGTCGATTTCGAGGATGGGTGTCAGATCTTGGGTTGTCGCATTTCAAAAGCTTTCAAAGTCAAACACTCTGTGTTTTGAACCCTAACTCGTTAAAGACTGAGACTCCGGGTCCGTTTATCCGTACAAGCGAATCAAGGGATTTCTCTCTCTCGCTCTCTCTCTCTGTCTCTCTCTCTCGCTCTCTCTCGCTCTAATTTTGTCCCCTTCAACCTCTAAACCCCTTCTTTTCTACCCCTACGTACCAGGTCGATTAGCATTTCGCGGCATAAGAGGGGGTGAAATAATGGGTCGAATCGTTGGAGGAAAGCCGCGTCCAATTCCTCCGACCCAAAACCCAACAGAGAGGAGAGGCCAATTTCCAATTGAGTCCAATTGACGGAGCAAGAGCAGAGATGAGAGAGAGGTGCTGCTCTTTTCAACGGCTCCTTTGGATTCTGCAGCTTGCAAATTCCTCAGAGTCTTCATCGGGTTTTTGGTTAATTTGATGCTGATCGACCTTTGGTGGGCTAAAATTGAAATATTGATTTTAGAGGTCGAAATGATAAGAATTTTTGAGTCCATTAGGGTGCTATGCTGTAGCGGAAACTACCGTAACCCAGTTTCAGCGCTACAATACCGACAAAATCCACAGGAAAGGGAAAATTTTCTCATTACCAGCTAACACACCAATTACGACGTTGCAAAATTATTCCCTGGCAGCTACTGGTTTACTGTGACCGCATACGGTAGCTCGGAATTTTGCGCATTGGGCGACGAAAGTGTTTGAAATCAACGCCCTAGTTAACCAAACTATCGTAATCCGCGCTGCATGATCCTGTTTCGCCAATTCCGTGGTTTTCCAATACTTTGTGTTATATTTTTCGGCTCCTCTGGATTGTGTCGGTTTTTCTAGAATAAAAATAAAAATCAAAGATATGTGTTTTGCTTCAGCAGTTTTTCTAAGAATTTACCTAAAGTACATCTCTTTGAGCACTATATTATTTTCTTTTCGGTCCAGCCAGTTAGCAACTGCAGTCTCGAAAAATTGGCTTCGTTTTGCGGATGACAAATTACTGGAAAATATGGGACAGGTCCTCCTCTGAAGGGTCTTCGAATGGGCCAGGTGGCGACAGAAAACCAAAAGAAAAAAAGCAATAGTTTTCTGAGTCATATTCCTTATATTGGCTTCGTCATAAATTGGTGCCTTCTCATCATTACTCAGAAATGAATGAATTTTAGGGTGGGAGCAAAACATACGCCCACTCAAAAGTTTGAACAATGACGGACAAAAATAACAAATTTTTAGATAAATAGCCACCATTTTTAGCATTTAAAAACTACCAACAGAAAAACAACATAAAAATTGCGCTTCTAAAGTTTATTCTTTTATTCAATCTCCAAAACCGCGGGAAACAGCCTTAAAGATGTCGCAAAAATTATTTTTATTTAATTTTGCGATCATTCCAATATTTGGTTTTAGAAAATCTAATATATCTACAAGGAAGTGTTCGTTTTAACGAAGTTATTCTTCTTTTTTCACCTCATCACGTACTTCCCCTCAAAAGCCGCTAAAAATGCAATTTTCTGAGGCTTCAAAGACCCCCAAGAGGAGGCGGAAATGGCGACCGTAATAACCCAGAAAAATTAATTCTTTTTTAACCATATTAGGGGTTTCCCCAACCCGTTTTGTACTTCATATTTTCGAGTCCGAAACCTTACTCGTCCGGGTTTTGTTCCCGTGAAGGCCCATTTTCCTGTAATGTAATGTGACCGGGTGGCATGTTGACAGTACTGCTTCGTACCCCTCAGCTAATTGATTTTCGAGTAAGAGTTCAGAGTTCGAGCTCAGATATCGAGTCCCGGATTGTTTGGCAAGTATCCGTGTTTAGTTTTGTAGTTTACATGCCAGTTTGAAAACTAAAACCGCTTTAATCGTCGAGAAAACGATAATTTTGAAAAAGAATGGAAAATCGTTATTTTGACATCTTCAATTTTCAGGAATCAGGGCAAAAAATCGAATTGTCTACTTTTTGGCAATTTTCCAGCTTGTAATTTTGTAGTTTGGTTGCCAGATTGTGAATTAAAAATAGTCTTGGCCTTTTAGAAAACGAAAATTTCGAATAAATCGTAAAAATCGTGTTTTTTGAACCTTCGAATCGCCTTTTTATCTTTGAGCCCAATCAGTTCTTAAAAAGTATCTTTAGTCGCTCTTTTTCCATTTAACCTAATTTAAACCGTGTCTTCTGTTTCACCCCCACCTTATCCGCTTTGCAACAAATTGGTCTCCCTTCCCTGTGAGGGCGTATTCTCTTCCGGTTCCGGGTCGACGGGCCGCATGCGTACTGCATTTCCGGGTCAGTCTAAAATCCGGGTCATATTTTTAGCAGATTATTATTAAAAATAATGGGTTGCGTGGCAGTTAAGTGAATCAACTATTCATATAGTTAACAATGCATAAAAACGAAATTTTATGAGCCGAAAACACCATTTCAGACCTAGCTGTCAAGTTCCGGCTCAATCCATCATTCCGGTCGGTGACATTCAGGATTATACTCAAAATAGCTTAACTATCTGTCGGTTTAAATAATAAAACGATTGGCAACCGCTTGTATTAAGAAATAAAATTTTACTAGCTAAGCACCGAAATCCAGATCAGGAAATTTGCGATTTTTGCCCGTTTAAATTTGTAACAATTTTTCTATTTTTTTCTATCAAAATTGTAAAACTTTCTGACGTTGTCTATAGCCAGACTTCCTGCCCGACTATACAAAACACAATTATTTTAGTAAAAAGTTCATTTTTTAATTTCCAGCTCCAGGCGTCCATAGATAATCGTGCAATTTTCCGGGCATTTCTCTTATTTTTAAACGGCTTCCTGGTAGTCGGAAACGCCACATAAAACAGGACCCCCCACTGAACTGGGTTAGCTCGTTTTTTAATTAGAAAACTCACTCTGTCCCCTTTGGAGTGATGCAGTCCGTTTAGAGTGCATTATAGGAACGGGAGGGGGAGTGGCTTTTAGGGTCCTCTACTAGAAACCCCCGTCAGTCAAGCACCCCGCACTTTTTGGACTTGAAACCGGGGCGAATTGCTCTTCTGACTGACACTCACGTAGTAGAACGACATAGGGATTGGGTAGCTAGGTGGAGGTGCGTTGCCGAATTTGTTCTGGATGCAGGCGGACTGGCTACCAGTCAAACGAATCACACAGAGAAGGCAAGCTGGCAGAGGTTCTTTGCGCAAAATTGCCGTGGATTTATGCTAACTGACCGTGAGTTTAGCGAAGGGCACAGAAAGGCAGGCCAGCACCAATTCTCTGTGCAAATTTTTGCGTATTTCATCTATCTGGTTGTCAGTTTGGCGGATGGTCAAGCTAGGAGAGGCCAGTTGCGGAAAATGCAGCAATTTTGGCTTAACTGTCAGTCAGTTGGTCGAGTCGAGCTGATTTCATGTTTGGAAACAACCTAGCCGAGGATCATTTGAACATTTTCTAGATTTCGTAAGGAGCCACTCTTAGGACTCAAAACCCGTGGGTTTAATGGAAATTCGGATGGTCCTCAGTGACTCACCCACCCGCCCCCTAGGTTGAT